TGTGTTTTGGTTGAACCCCCCAAGAGCGATACCTTTCTTTCGTCCTATGCCAAAACCCCCAAAAGCGACAGGACCCCCCAAGTTGTCCATGGCATCGGATTATAAAAGGAGTTTCGGCGAACGCTCATATGGATGTGATTCTCTGGGGCATCAAGGGTCCCTAATTTTGGCACGTGCCAAGGAGGTGGCGAGTGCTTGGCTCGTGCACGGACCTGTGAAAAGTCGTTTGTTCAGCTGATGGCAGACAGGCGCCGTTACGACCTCTCCTCCTCATCAACATTGCTGTGACCACGACAGCAAATTCAACAACTGCCGCGGCTGCTGCTCACATTAGAGGAAGATTGCATTGTAGTCTTGAGCGCACCACCACATGGATCATGAAGCCAAAGTAGTTGGGATTTGCGACAAGTCACATCATGCAAGGCGGTGTTTGCGAGCTTGAAGATATGAACCTTCAAGAAAGCTTTGCGGAAGACGGGGGTATCGAATATACAAATGGAGCGAACCAGCATTCCTAAGATTAAGAAGTTACAATGTGGTTGTAAAATGCTTGGGGGAATCATGATCCAAATCGTGTTCCCTGTAGCAAATGAGCACAAAGCAAGCGCCTCTCCATCTGCATGCGGGGGGGGGTTATGACTGATCCCATGTTCTCATACACGTCCTTTTTCTGTAACCACTTCTGCAACGAATGTTCGAATCCCATCTCCAATAATTGCAAGCTCGAAGTTTTTGTGACGGCCCTAACTTTGAAGCAGCATAGCTTCTCCCATGCTTGGAACAGACGAATAGAAATTTGGCTCTTTAAAGCCATGCCATCCGAGCCGCTTCGCCCGGCCAACTTGCCTCCACTTTCTGTGGGGACCAGGCCTGTTGCGATGAGCATGTCCCGGGTTTCTATTCGATCTGCCTTGTTGCATGTCATGTCGCTGGGGTATTACCATTCTGGAAAGCATGGCTGTAACCATTAAGATCAGGAATGGCATCGTATGTGTTGGCCGGTAGACTCAGTATGCTCACACGTTGAGTTAGATAGCTGCTAGTAGGGATGTGTTTCTATTCTGCCGCCTGTGTCTTTCTCTGAATAGTGTTTCTTTTTTGGGAGCATGGCACTGTTTTTTCGGATGTCTTCAAGAGAAAGCTGCTGCTGATAGTGCCGGCAATAGCAACGATTTTTGATGATAACCTTTAATATTATTGTCATGGATAACATTGCTATCATAGTGGACAGACTGTTGTAGTTGTAGTCGTCAGTGACTTGGGCCTCAAATCTTCGCGACCATTACAGACAACAGGAGGAATGTTGGACTCTATTTCTTGTTCAGGCTATCGATACTGTGCTTTTGGGCCCCCATGTTCAGGGTCAGGCCTAGTTCCCGGAGGGCACCACCTCCTGAGTTTTGAGACAGCCTGATACTTTCCTGCGTCGCAATTTGTCAGCTTGGCTCACGCCCTTAAGTTTTTTTGAGAGTTGGACTATAGGACTATATATATATACATATATATATATATATGATCCCCTGGCCAACAGTGACTGCAACGGATCCCAGCAGTTATATGACGGTCCCCCAATATTCCCATTACACCGACTTAGCCATGAAGATTTGCGCGCGGCGGCGGCCGTGCGCGGCAGGTGAGGGTGAGACTGCTGCTCGCTTGCTTTGAGGCTCAGTTTCTGCTCTTCCAGAATGTTAAATCGACATAATCCAGATGTCTTGTGATCATGCTCCCCGACATCCCTTATTCTTTTCGCTTTTCCTGCCAGCGATCCCGGAAACGAAGCAAGGCACCCACTCGACACTGGGTAGTATGGTTTGAATAGGCCATCTTATCGTGCATAGTGCCACACAATCCTGATCCCTCCGTGCTCATCGTATGTTCTTTCTACAGCACTTCTCCCATCTGGGTAAACTGCACATCCCTTGTATACTCCTCACCTCCTTAGACTGGAGCTTGTAGGTAACTTGAATTAATCCATTTCGCACCTGCTGTAATAGTCCGATCAAAACCCCCATGACAGACAATACTGAGCGGAGGCTGACACTGGGTTATTCATTTTTCCAGAAGACTTATGCGATCCATTTGCAGTCCACATCTATAATCATACACACTATAGGCTTGTCCTTACAAGTAAGTATAGACTGAAATCCCGAAGGCTACACCTCAAACCCAAACCCCGAGCGTAGCTAGAATCCTGGGGTATTGACCCTGGTTCTTTCGCTCTTGAGTGAGCAACTCCACCTATAAAAGGCAAGACGCGCCACTCCGAGGAATGATACATATTTATTTCCCCCTAATGTGCAAGGTATGACATGTGGAGACTTGACTTTCACTTGGGATTGTTACTACGGGAACGTGAGAAGACAGACCAGGACTTGAGCTTGGAGGACGTGCGGTCCAAGTCTGCTGCTGACACGGTGTTTGGGCACGAGGCTGGACGAGTTCAAAACCCTGAGCTCGATTTGGGCAATAGCGTGCAGCGCTTTAGGATTCCAGCCAAGAATAATGACCTAACCTGACATCACTCCAACCAAAATGACGGTCCTATTCCAGGCTTTTGCGCATTTGCAATTTAGTTGGATGAGGCAAGCATGTTTTTCGGCGCTTTTGGTCTTGGCAGGTTTAGGTGCACATGGTGTAGGGCTAGTGTGTAATCATACGCTAGCAAGCCAATACTCAGGTCCAGATGCTTCAACAGATTGGGTGAAAGCATCCGGCCAAAATTCTTAGAAAACCCTCTCAATTCCATGGCAATGAAGAGCTCAGTCGGTCAACAGTATCAAGAGCCGCAGAGAGAGCAATACGGCTGAGGATCGAACTACTCATCACAGGACTTGGATGTTGATAACATAAACTTTAGCAGCAGCAATTCTAACTAAAAACAACCGAAGAAGCAACATGGAAACAGCAAGCATAATCACAACCACATGCATTTAAAGAGCGGGGTCTATATGGGTTCGTGGAAAGATGTTTGTTTGCCTTCCATTCACTGCACCTAAAAATACCACCGCACCCCCCTCATGAGTGCTCCCCTCAATACAGCAATATAGTGCTATGGTACTATATTGTATATGGCCTATGGCCGGAAGGCGAGCCAGCAAGAGGTCCTTCAGTCCATTCTGGAGCCCCAGTTGGACAGGTGGGTATGTGGGAGCTTCACAAAACAGGGGAGCCCGTCGGACCTTAAGGGTATATGCATCTGGGGAACGTGAGGAGGTCATGGGCGTCCCTACTACGGGTTATAGACGTGTACTCAATATTCTCGTACCCGAAGATGGAATTGCGTGGTTTTGGTGCACCCTCAGGTTTCTGCAGGAGCCAGGGTTCAGCGCCGTGTTTCTGGCGTATGGTCAGACTGGCAGCGGAAAAACTCACACTATCTTTGGGCCACCGGGTGTCCTCACGGAACACGACTATAACGAGAGCGGAGGCTACCCCAAGACATGGGGCTTCTCGAGCAAGGTCTGGAAATGCTGTCAGCAAATCTTGAACTTGTCATTGAACAACGTCACTGTACCATCCCTATGTGTCAACAAAAAATTCAGTTTGCCTGCACCTTTGCATCTTGGTTAGGTTTCTTCCCCTACGCAGCAGTGGCAACGCTGACGGAACTGCGACAAAAAGGACTGCAAAAGCGGGCGCAGCTTAAGTTGACAGCCATGGAGATCTATTTGGAGAAGATGTTCTGCGGAGATCTTTGTACAACGTTTTCGCAGTTTCTGAAGAAGACTTAACCAAACATAGGACAAGGGCTACTTTGCGACTACGAAAGGATGATCGTTTGTGAGCACTTCGAAGTACATGCAAGTAAATTGCATCCAGCTAACAAACTTATGGCATGATCATTGATCATTGAGATTTAAACTTACAATATCGTAGAAGAATGGTGTGCGTGTTGTTTTTTGGGCGTACTTCTACAAGAGCCCAGGTTCGACCTCCTCAACGATCGCCAGCACTTGGACAGCATGAAACAATAAAGGGATGGGCTTTGGGGGTTAGAAGGATTATTATACAGAGATGGGGGAGGGGGTTTTCAGGGCAACTCTGAGGGATTGTTACAGGGATGCAGTCCTTCACTCTCAACTGACAGAGACAAGGCACGTAGCAGTTCCTGGAGCATCTGTTCGTGCGGGTTCGATGCGTGCTGATTATTCGGAGACACGTTACGACTCTGATGGGAAGTGGCGTCCGCCTGGAAAATGGCTGGGTGAGAAGACAATGCCTGGAATTCAAGCGACAGCCAAGGAGGTCGAGATTTCCCAAAAAATGTGTCAAAGGGGATTCTTTTAAAACAATTCTGGCGCTTTGTGGGTTATTTTTACGCTCCCCCCTCATATCCCTGCTCCAAGCAAAAGGGGCGTAGATTTGAAGTCTAGGTAGGTCGACCACTATTCCGACGGCAGCTTCTCCACCAAGCACAAAAACGGGACTCCTAACTTTCAGAAACACCCAGGTCGTGATGGAATCTCCTTTGGACGTCGTCCACGCCGCGCGGCTCGTTGAGGTCGGCCTTGCCTTTTGCAGTGTGTTTCGGGCTTGGGGAGTTTCTCAACAGCGGAACCCGTACAATAAGGAGCATTCACGATTTAGGGTTCAGAGGGTGTATCATTAGGTTTAGTGTGTATTGTTTACAGATACGTGGTGCTTTCACGAGATCGCAGAGAATGGGTGCCTCAGAGGGCTATCGTGGGTTTGTAATATGATCAGAGGGTTCCAAGCATTGTGGGGTCCTTTTTTTGTGGGTAACCTTGACCGGAACCTCCCGTATGGGCTGCTGTGCTTTATGATCTTACTTATCAGTCATGCCTGGACTTTCGGCTTTCGGCTTCAATGCCACCTGCTCTTGACTTCTCTGCGAGCCATGCACAAGGATCTCCATGAGAATCCTCCATTGAAGGACAGAAGTTTTCACCAGTTACCCTAAGCCTTAACCCTCTTCAACCCTAAATGACAATTCCGATTTCTCTGAATTAGCCCCAAATCCTAAAACTGCCAACCCTAGATCCTAAAACCCTAAAAGACTCAACCCCAAACCTCAAGATCTGACTCCTCTCAGAGTTTCACTGGCCATGTTGCAGAGGCCACGCGCTCTGCAACTTCTCATGCCCTCAACCACAGGCGGGGGTTCCCAAAATTGCCGACCCTGCTTTGCTCTCTATCCTCTTGGACCAGGTCGAGCCGATCTCACTGCATGATCACCTTGACCCTCCGGCAAATCGATGCCAACGGCAAATTGTGCCACGGCCGCCTGGTGTTCGTGGACCTGGCTGGCTCTGAGCGCGTCTGGGACCGCGTTTGAGGACTGTCTTCTGGGGTGCAGGTTCTTTGTGTACAACTGGAAGACTTAGAAGGACCCGCTTTTTCTTCCTACGACAATTATTAGGGGCAAAGGTGTGGGAAAGTCGGGTGTCAGCGCAGATGGCACCGGTGGCGCAAGGGCTTTCAATTTGCCTGGGCGCCTCACTGTGGACATTCCCGGAACCCGCTTTGATGAGGCTCGCTCGGTGAACTGTTCCCTGAGCGCTTTGGGCCGTGTGATCGCTGCACTAGCTCGACGAGACAAGTACGTGTCCTTCCGTGACTCTGCCTTGACCCAAATGCTGAAGGATCCCCTAACCGGTGGCGCAGCCCATGTGACTGTCATCCTGGCTTTGCGCGCCGAGAAGTCAAACGACTCAGAAACCCAATCCACCATGCGGTTTGGAACGGTCTGCAAAGATGCCGCTGGGAGTGGCAACATGAGATCACGAGCCTCCAAGAGTGTTCCTGCACGAAAAGGGGCAACTGTTGACGTGTCCAAGGCCGTAGCAGAACTCCAGAAGGAGCTCGGTATATTCCAATTTGACGGTTCTTATTAAGTCTTGTTACAGATCCCTGAATCACTACAGTCCTTGCTTTGGGGGCTCCAGGGGACCTCTGATCTTGCCATGAAACCTAATGACTAAATGACCATCCGTTAAAGATTCCTACTGCATCTGATCATGCATTTTTGTTCAGTTTTTCCCATAAGCTCTTGAACGGAGGCTCCCTAAACTTAAGCCCTAAATGTGGGAGGAGCTCGCAGCTGTCACAGAGGAAGTCGAGCGCATGAAAGCTGACGGCCAAGATGAACACCTCAACACCCAAGGCCTTTGGGGACCCGTGAAAGAGGTGTTACGTATATAGAAAAACATGCATGCATACAGATATACATACACATGCATGCACATGGACCCCACCCCCTCCGGGAACCCACGCTTTACCTAAACAGGGCTCGGGTGGGCTATCTCAACCTCAAGCAGTGCCAGAGGCTTGGCCTTTCATGGGCCGGGAGGTGGTAGGGGTAAATGTTTCCAGACGCCTACATCCAAACAGCAAAACCGAAACAGCCATTTTACCAATATTGCACTTTCTAAAGCCTAAAAGTCCAAAGCTGAGAAACTTCTGAAGCATTAAGTGTATTATTCCCAAAAAATCCCAACAGTCCAGTTTGTTGAGATATTTTTCGGACACTACATGCTATTTTAAAAGCTCCAGAATTCCAAGGTTCCTAAAATTATGTACTACTTATTCCCAAATTCCAAATTTTGGGCACATTTGGAACTTGCTAATTATTCGACCAAATTTCAGCAGCTTTGGAGTTGCAGAAATTTGGAGGTGTGAGCTCATAATTTTGGAATCTTGGAATTTCACGCTTATTAGTTCACCGGCAAGTTCGAGCCCTGGAATCTGGGGATCTGGAAGAACTCACCTGTGCATTCCGCTCGAATCTGGCAGTCTTTCGTGCCCTCATGCACTCAAGTTCTTGTGTTTCACCCCTTACGCATCCGGAGCCATGGATGCAGACAGCATTCGTTTCACGAAATCGAAAAAGGCCTAAGGATTTCCTTTGTTTTGTTGGTGCCTCCCCAAGTTTTGGCGACGTTTTTAGTCCAAATATTGCCAAAACCCAAAGCTGTCCAGGAAAGGCGAATTCCGTTTAATTTGAACACACACGCCTATTGAGGAAGCTATTTTGAAAAGTGAAGGAAACCAGAACTTGAGAACGGAGAAAGCTAAATCAGAACCAGGCCATGGGTTTACATAATGACAGTCAGGAACCCAGAATGTGCAAATTCCCGATTGAACTTGAAGAAAGTCAGTTTGAAGCACATGCAGTAGGAGTCTATTTCTAGGAGATAAAGAACCCAGGACCTGAGAATTCCACTTACAACTTGGAACACATGTAGCAAAGGATAGACATAGAAAATCAGGAGCTGAGGATCTGAAAGCTGCCAATCAAATTTGAGGCATTTTTAAGGGGAAGGCAGAAAGATAATGAAGCCCTGGAAAGAAGAACCTATTCAAATAAGACACAGTTTGCAAAGGATCTATACAGCGAACATCCGGAACCGAGAACCCAAGAATTCCCTGTAAATTGGCAATGCATTTAGTAAGCGGCTTATACTTGAAGATCAAGGCTACAGGAAAGGAACATCAAGGCACAGGCCTCCGGAATTCCCATCCAAATTGGAACTCATTTGGTCCGGGTGTTATCTTGAGAAAATCAGGAACCAAGGATCTGAGAATTTCCCTTTATTGTGAAGCACAACTAGTAAGGGATTAACGGTCTGAGAATTATACACCTTCAAAATCGAGGCATCTTTGGGAGGAAGTCTACACATAGATGATCGACCACGCCATGGAGATGGGAATTCTCGTTTTAATTTGAACCCATGCGCTCCTCGCCCTCACCCTGTCCCACTTGAGACACAACGCAAGAATATGATACCCAACACGATCTAGATATGCATCTTGGAGGGCTTCCATGAGCATCTCATGTCCCCGTTAAATCATGCATTGCCAGAATTTTCAGCAAATGTACTGTACCGTTGGATGCGCGGAGGGCAGTGTTTTGGCTTTAAATGCGGGTTCTCAAGCGGGAGGGGGTGCGTATATGTATATATATATATATATTTGTATACACATATTAATATACATACACACATGTATACACACATAGCAGGATGATGGTGATGGTGATGATCATAGCCGTGGTGAAGGTATGAACTTGCAGCCCAGAACGGTTGTTCATGCTACCATTGCCGTTGCTGTTATATCCTGACGATGAACATCTTTTTTGTATGGCTTTCAGGTGCAAATGTTTTATGATTCATCATGGAATGGACTAGTCAAAATCATCCAACGTATAGTCTGTGAACATTAACTTCCCGTCTATTCCCTTTCTAATCCCTATGAATACATCTAGGATCCCTGGGGGCCGCCTTTCTAGAATTTCCTGCACTGACTTGTCCACGGACACCCAAGGCTTTGCTGCCCCGACTGTACAGGGCTTCCTGGACAACAAGCGCAAGTTCGAAGAGGCAAAGCGGCAGGCCCCTTATCCCTTTTAGATTCGGAGGACACTTTGAGATTTTCTGGTTGGTGCAGGCGTAATCCATTGTTTTCCCTCGTTGTCACCATGATTTGGATTGGTTCAAGCGGAATACTACATGCGTAGTCTCTAAAATGCTGAGCTTCAACGCTCAGACCCAAAATCAACTCGCAGGCCACCCGCTACAAGGAGCTCCTGGCTGAACGCCGGAGCGAGCTGCGCCTGGCGGGAGAGAAGGAGGAGGGAGACCGGCGCATGGAGGACGGCGTTCGAGGGCACAGGGGTTTCAGGGGCAGAGCCTTGAGTTCAGGATCCGAGGCTTGGGGCTAGGGCGTGAGAGTTGGGTTACAAGGCTTGTTATCTGCGTATAGGAGCCCTGAACCTTCAAAACTAAGCGTGCAGCCCCTCAAGCCCTGAGGCCTGAACCCTAAACTCTCAACACGCAAGCCTGACTTCAAACCTGGTATAGAACCTTAAGTTGTAAACCCAACAAATCTTAAACTTGAAGCTCTTGAGCCCCTAGCGCACTTAAGCATAGCAGGAGCTACAGGCATCTCTGGTACTCGCGCAGCAGGCGACCTTTGTGGCATCGGGCATCTTCTACCGCCAGGTGAGGGCCAGGATTTGCAGTTAACGTAGTGGTTGTGAGCAAGCATTAGAGGAAGATGGAAACCGTAGGTCAAAAGTAAAATCAGGATCTGGGGATATCTGTGTCAAGTCTCATGAACAGTATTTGGGAGGTTGAAGAGACGGCCTTACGCCCCACACTTTTAGATCCTGAAATTTGATTGCCCGCAACTCCCGACAGGCGATCCCTGGTACAGCCCTCACCCCCCCCCCTTCACTTTTTCAGGAACCCATACCAACCCTCAACCTGAAGCCAGAGCCCGCGGAGGTGACTACAGGCATCTGGTCAGCCAGGACTCGCGGGCGTCAATTTGCGGGAAATGGAAGCAGGGGTGTATCGTTGCTTTCATGTCATGTGGTTATGCTAGAGCAACAGTTGACCATAAACAAGAACACCCACTCCCAGCAGCAAAAACTGATGCTAAGCCAGCTCTGATGCTAAGCTAAATTCCTGAAGCAAAAAGCTTAGTTGTGCTGACAAAGAAACAAGCAGCAAGCAGGCAGGCAAGCAAGCAAGCAAACAACAGAGACGGTCCGGACCAACTGCCAATAGGACCCCGGCCATGGAGCAGAAGATGGCCTTAAGGGACCGGCTTGCCATGGAGATCGACTTCTTAGAGTCTGCGGAGACTCGCAACTCCAATGCAGCCCACCCTAGCAAGGATTAGACTGGGCATACTAGGCTACTATGGCACGGAGTAGCTCGTGGAGCGTTGTCAAAAGTGAGGGGCGTGTGTGTGTCGTACGTTGGTGCTTATAAAGGCCCAGAGCTTGAAAATGCCCATAATAGGATTGTTATTGTTTACAGGAGATCTAGCTTTAACTCTTATTGGGGATTTGTGTCTCTGGATATCACTTCAGAAGTTGACGGCGAACTGGACGCTCGTCTCTTGGCTGGCCCGTTTCTGTGCACCTGCAGCTTGCCAGAGGGCGCTAGGGTTGCGAGAAACGGTGGGTCCAAAGTAGCGAAGCAGTTCATGTGGGGTTCTCTTCAGGATATGGCGGATTACATTGCCCATGTTTATACCACCTTGACATAATAAGGGAGGACGCCATCTTTTGAGGAGTCCTCGTGCAACTGGAAGCCAGCGACCGCTTTTGCCGAAGCGCGATTGGATCTTGACGTAGTGTTATGCATGGATATTCACAACCATCTGCATCTCTCCTCGTGCACAGAGTAGTCAGTCGGTCGTTGCAAGGGGTGCATTCTTTTATCTCTCATACAGCCTCAATCTTAGTTGAATTTTCAACAAGAAGGGGAGCCAGTGGGGGTACACAACAGTTACAGTCCCCGTTGCCGACCGCTTTGGCTCCGAGTATGAGAGATTGACAGTGGAAACGATGAGGCCCCAGGAGGATTGAAAGGTTGGATCCCTTGCTTCAAGAAATCGATGGTCTGCCCGCATAAAGCCTAAAGCTTCTGGAAGCTGACAACTTATGGGATCTGATCTTCACCCTGGGTTTTGCCTAGAGCTTGCGATTGGCAAGTTCATACAGGTCAGCTCCCAAAGGGAGCAGCCACAATCTTTACTTGCGCGATGACCTGGCATCATTAACTCGAATCCCTTCCTCCAAATATGAAGCTCCCCTCCTTTTAGATTGAATGTGTGCCCCCAACTATGTGTCTCAAAATAGGGAGCGCTTACGGCTCCTAGTGATACATGCGAACTACGCGGAGGTAGCCAGCTTGAGATGTTCTGAGCTGGGTTACTAGGAGTGTTGAACATAAAGCTGGGGGTGTTGAATGTCAGGTGGAAGGGATACGTGCAGATTCCGTGCAGCAAAGCGCTTAAAACAAGTTCAGCTCCTCAGATTGTCAAGGAATCACAGTTTGGCATCCAATGTTGCAGGGTCGTGGTCGTAATATGAGGAGTTGTCGCCTGACGACGATTACTACTGTTTCAAGTAGCATACGACTTCTTGCTTTGGTGACAGCTATGATTGTTGCTATTACTGTTACGGATCCCCCTGCCCAAAATTAAGGGTGCCCCTAAACTCCCACCCCACAAGTCTGAGCTGATGAAGGAGGCCAGAAGTCTGCAACCCTAATGCTTTGCTGAACAACTGTCGAAAAGCATCAATTCTAGGACCCCAAATCAACCCGAAACACAGACATGTTCTAATCTGCCCGGGAGAAGCGGGATCTTGGCAAAAACATCCCGTCAACATCTTGAAGGCAGACTACCATAGAATCTTGCTATGGCCCTTGTATATCTCCTTGGTTCCTATACCTACCCTACACCCTAATCTCTACGCCCTCTAGACCCTAAGCCAACCTGTACACACGTGCATGCATACATGCGTGCGCACATGCATGTATACATATACATAGATGCATATACATGTATGTAAAGATGTGTTCGCAGAATGTCTTCCAGATCCCCAGGCAGCAGAGCAAGCCCGCCGGCAGTCCCGACGAGGCGACATTGACAGGTTTCCAAAAACTGCGTTTTCAGGATTCAGGGATCAAGGGCAAGGGTATCACGGCTTCAGGATTTAGCGGATAAGGGTTAGTGTGATTATTGTAGTTTAAGATATTCGAGTCTAGGGGTTGGGCGTTCGTGGAGCTTAGGGATCGTCTCTGAGAGTCGCTGGAATAAAATCAAACCTTGGGCTGTATTTAGAGGACTGGGGATCCCTGTCCATTGGCAAGCTGCACAGTGTGGACTCTCAGCAAGTCGGGTTATCCAACCACGGGATCTCCCATAACCACGTGAGCTGAGGCTTGATTTGTCCGGCGTTCATATATGGGGGCCACTATGAAGTATGGGTAGGCTACATTGTTGCTGCTGTTATTGTCGTTATTGTTGCGGCGCTGTTTGTGGTGGTGATGGTACTGTTGGTGTTGTTGCTGCTGCATTTGCTGTTGCTGCTGCGGCTGCTCATCCTCTTTTGCTCTGCTTGCTGCTGTTCTTCTTCTGCTGCCGCTTCACGTTTGCCTCTTAGTGGCTGATGGCAGCGGGTGTGGTGGTTCTGGTTTCGGTTGCGGTTGCAGTTGCGGCAGTGGTTGGTCGCGAGAAAGAACCCAGCGATTTTTGAATGGTTAACGTACAGGCGGGCATCTAATTGGCGCATCTGGTAGGCGTAGCCTTGCAATGCTGGATTGCTACATTCCAATGTAAACCTGTACAAGCTTTCAACATTCAAACCAGCAACGATAGATTCTGTCAGCTCTTGTCAGGCGCCTGCAAGCTCTGCTGCTGCAGCTTCTGCGCTGGAATCCTAGATTGGTGAGCGGCAGCATGGGAGTCACCAAAAACGTTGACCAGTAAATGTGTTCACGTACATCTATCTTGTATGTAAGACAGAGTGTACATGTATACAGCCATGCATATATGCATATATGCATGCATGCATGCATGCATGCATGCATGCATGCATGCATGTATGTATGTATGTATGTATGTATGTATGTATGCGTGTGTATCTGTACAGATGGAATATACTGTTTCTCCAGCAATGTCTTAAGTCTAGATCAGCTCAGGATTCTGATGGTACTCCCCCTCAACCAAGGAGTATGTCGTCGGGGCATATGTGCATATCTATATATACTATGTGCGCATTCATTCATCGGAAGGCTCGACTTACAAGACATGCAGCAACTGGCCAGTGTGATTTTCAAAAATCTCTAGACCCCAAACAACAAATCCATCAACCCTGCAGAAAATCCGCTGGGTTCTGGATGATCCTGTGGAGCGAGTAGCTGATGATCAGTTTGTGGAATCAGCAAAACCACCTTGAGCCGCGCGTTAAGAAAATTTAGCCAGTTCTCCGGTACTGCAAGGATTCAGGTGAAGCACATCCTTGGAGAGAGTTGAACTGACACCCATGTGCATGAGCATTTGACAGCCACGCTTGGCTGAAACCCTTTCAGTAGCGAACCGGCATTTCATTGGGTCTGGTGGCCGTATACCCCAATGGCACCGGCCCCGAGACGTGTGATGCGTCTCCTGCTTCTTCTTCTGCCGCCTGCAGCGCGCAGTCTTATGCGACCAGAGACTGAAGCCTTGTTACAGCTTTCAGGCCAAGGACGACAGACGCAGGAACCTGTGGCCCAACCCTGCACCTCATATGGTCCAGGCCTCCATCTTGTGCAGCTGCCACTGCTACAGCGCCAGTTCCTGCTATCAGTCCCCGAAGACTTTGCTCCAGGCAGCGTCCCGCTTGTGTTTGTCTTCCATGGCTTCTCAGATTCACCCTGGTACTCGAATCGCATGCTGGGCTTCTCAAAGAAGATGACCAGAGACTTGTTGCCTAAGGCATTTTAAACTTGAGCGTCTTTGGGCTTCGATTTGGTCAAAACCGTCAACCCCAGCCCTGAACCCTAGTCCCTCAGCATCAAGGATACGGCTGGCTGGGCATTTTGCCGTTTGGCTTAGATGAGCCCGAAAGAAACGGTCTGGGCGGCGTAGAAGCCTGCTGCCCTGCAGGCTGTACAGGAGACAGTAAAATGGTTCAATTAGGTTTGAACGTATAGGGTTTAGATTTCAGTAGAGTTGAAGGCTTCGGGCTTTGGCGTTAAGCCAAGCATGCTCCGAAGCCCTAAATCCCACTACACTGCATAGCGAGAACCGCACTTAGAGACACCCTCACCGAAAGTAACATGGAACCTGATCAAGCTTCTCATGCGGGCTAGAGTTTTTATAGGGCGCTTGCCGGGCTGTTGGTTTGAGGCAGGGTAATTGGAGAGGCTTGTCTTCCAACTTGTTTGGCTCTGAAGGAGAGTGCTGCACGGAAGGAAGGCGCTTGTCCAACAGAGACGCTGCTGGACTCCAAAAGTTTTTGTATAGTGCTTTGCGCATTCTTGTCCATCCACAACGGAAAGAAATCATAGACCGCTACATAAGTCTAAGTTGTTTGTCTAATCGCTGCTTCCCCCTAATAATAAACGGCGTGCCTCCCCCCGTATAATAAATAATCCGGTGGCTCAAAAAATATTTATTATTAGGAGGGCACATTTATTGAGAGAATTTGGTAGGGCCGCCTTTAAATTCCTTTTAAAATCAATTGAAGTAGAAGTAAAATTCCTTTTTAATTAAACATTCCTTTAAAATCAATTGACACCGAATTAGAATTCATTTTGAAATCAATTCTAATCGAAGTAAAATCCCGTTAGAATAAATTTAATGAACATTCCTTTTTAGAATCAATTGAAATCAAATTAAAATTCCTTTTAAAGTCAATTGAAATCGAATTAAAATCTTGTTAGAATCAATAGAAATTTTCTTAAAATTCCTTTTAGAATCAATTGAAATCGAATTAAATCCCGTTAGAATCAATAGAAATTTAATTAAGATTCCTTTTGAAATCAAATGAAACCGATCAAAATCCATTGAACATCATTTGAAATCGAGTGAAATTCAATTGAGATTTAATTAAGTACGGCTAAAACTGCAATAAAAGCAATTAGAATCGCATTCAGTTCTATATAAAATCCTTTATAAAACCAATATGAAAATCAACCAAAACCTCGGATGTCAAGGGGATCCCTAATTCCTTTGGATTTTCTATTATACCCCCTAATGACCTCAAACCCCCCCTAATTCATTATGGTCTGGCTCCTTTTAAAATTAGTACAGCCCCTTTTAAAATGCTCATGAG